TGTGTAATTTTTTCACGCAGAAACGGCTGGACTATTATTTATGTGTGGGTTATACTACTTAATATCTCTGAGGGAGAACAAATAATGGACAAATTTTTATAATTAATATAATTTTATTTACAAATCAATTAAAATATAAATATTTTATTTCAAATTGGGCATCCGAACGCACTTTTTGAATGCCAATCTAAGAACATTAAATTGTATTTAAGTGATTCTTTGCATATAGAACGTTCCGGAGCCGCGGTATCTCTTTCGAACAGCCCGCAACCCCGGCAGGCGTCGGCCCTTGCGGGCCCCTTCACGCTGCTGACAGCTCTTTGAGGCGCGCGTGGAACAAAACGTGCCGTCGACACGGCCTGTCGTCATTAGACGGACGGACGGCGAGCTACCCATTGCTCGCCGTCCACAGGCCCGCGCCTACGGTGGTCGGGGGCCACGACGTAGCCCCCGACGCCCGGGGCGTCTCCCGCGGCGGCCGGGAAGGAAAGCTGTTGCTCTTTCCTTCTCCCGCTCTGCCACCTCCTTCGCTAGCATCACTGCTTCGCAGAAGGTGGTGACGGCATCCCATTCCGTCTCGCTCCGGACCATGGCTTCGACCAGAGCCGGACGCGAGAGGTCGCCGCCGCCTATCGCCGCTACGAGGACACGGCGGTGCTCCGCCCAAGCGGAGCACACCTCCACGGTGTGCTCCACCGTGTCCTCCGGTCGATCCTCGCAGTGGGAGCACCCGGGCGTTTCCTCCCGCCCGATTCGGTGCAGGAACCTCCCGAACACACCGTGTCCGGTGAGGACCTGCGTCAGGCGGAAGGTGAGGATGCCGTGGCGTCTCTCAAGCCACTCCTCAAAGAGGGGTCTTATCGCCGCTATAGTGGCGTGCCCAGCACGGGGTTGCGACAGTCGCTGTCTCCATGTCGCCATGAGATCATGCCGGAAGTCTGTCCGCTGCGCGACAACTTGCCGCGGCAGCGGGGTTTCCCCCCGGCATAGTGCTGCCGCGCGCCATTCGTGCAGGCGCGCGAGGACTATCGCCTCCAGATCCCATGGCGGCAATCCGGCAAGGAGGCTCGCCGCCTCGCGGGAGATCGTGCGGTAGCCGCGAACCATCTTTACGGCGACCACCCTTTGGGGCGCGTTTAGGTGGTGGACGGCAAGCCGCGCCAAACCACGCGCCCACGTAAAAATCAGCCTAAGTACAATTTCCTGCATTTAATATTAAAAGTTGGATTACTGGGAAAATAATTGAATTCTAATTAGAGCCCTGTCTTTTTGTCATTTTTATGAGGTTTACTTGACGAGAATACGGCCTGTTCTCAAAATGATTATAAACTATAAAAATAATATTTTGCGATTAAAATTTCTTCATGTCTGAATGCAAAACAAATTTCAGCACCTTCGTATGATTATTTTACCAATACTGAGCTCTACGGACCTTTATATTTTTAGTTCACATGACACAAAATGTCGCCATCTAGTGTCGAATATATTCAATTATATTTGAAAGCCGACGCAGAGATTTTTCTAGAACTATTTGAATAAATTAGGTGTAAAAATATTTACAAATGAAATGTGATGCCATCCATAACATCAGAGCGTCGATCTGAGTAGTTTTTACACAATAAAACACAACACTTCATCCTTTTCTTCTTAATACTACTAAAATACACCGATTTGCGATTTTTTCAACATATAGTATACTAACTAAAGCCACGCCCACTATGATGACGTCGGGACCTACTTAGAATCACAGTGCACAGTTGCTTATGCCGTCTCCCCTTTGTATTAGCTTCATGGTCGCAACTTAGGTTTTATATTGCGTTGTTTTACAAACATGAAAGCCATTGTAGCATTGTAGGTATAACGTCTTAGTTAGGAGCCAGCTTGAGTGCAACGCGGTAATCTGGGCTCCACGTGAAATTAAATATAGTATCATGCTGGAGAGAATTCAAAACAAATTTCTTAGGTTTCTATGTTTCACACAGTATATCCTTTTTACCCACTTAAATATCCAACATTATTCGTTTTAGATAGGCGAGACCTCGCACTGGTATCACATATATTCTCCAAGTACCTTCAAGAAAAGAGCGTACTCCTTTTTAAAAGGCCGGCAACGCATCTGCGATTCCCTCCCTGGTGTTGCAGCTGTTCATGGGCGGCGGTAATCACTTACCATCAGGTGAGCCGCATGCTCGTTTGCCCCCTCTCTTATAAAAAAAATAATAATAAGACGAAATGTAGACGATCCTTATTTCTTGGAAGGTATATATTTGAATGTTCCGGAGAAATACGTGTGGCGAAGGCGGCGGCCGCGGCTGCTGGCGGTGCCGCGCGCTCGCACCAACTTGCTGAGGAGGCGCCACGCACTCGCGCCACCAGACTTCTTAACCTTATCCATGAGGAAGTTGACATATTTTTATGTTCAGGGGGTGAATTCACAAGGGCTGCATTATTTATAATATGTTACAATAATTAAGTTTACTGTTTTCACTAGCGCATTAGGTCATTAGATCCTGTAATGTTAGTGATAAGTTTGGCTAAATAAATAAATAAATAAAAAATCTTCAATATATCACCAATTTGGTCGATAAACTTCCGGCTAGGGCGTTTCTTGCCAACTTTTCCATTCACTTCGACAACATTAATTTGCTTTGTCACTCTTTCCTTATCAATCATTTCTACATAACCAAACCTCCGAAGTCTTCCTTTCTTAATCCTGGTCATAACATCTTTCAAAACTAGGAATAATAATATGTTATATGAGATACTTTTTTCTTAAACGACTTCAAAAAAGGAGGAAGTTTTCAAATCGTCGGAATATTTTTTTATGTACATTCACCGATTACTCGAAGACGCCTGAACCGATTTTGAGAATTCTTTTTTTTTTTTGTATCACAGGGTATACTTTCTAGATGGTCCCATTTAACTTTTATCGAAATCGATCGACCGGTTTTTAAAAAATCAACATTAAATTATTTTATTTATATTGAAGTCGATTGTACAAAAAGAAGCGATCGAGCGGAACCAAGGCTCCAAAGTCTTTGCCAGAGATCTGTCTGTCAGAAAGAGCCAACTGTCAAGGCTGAAGACAGAGTGTGGCAGCATCGTTTCCGGGGCACCTGAGATTTTGAGTGAGATTGAGAGGTTCTATGGGCAGCTGTACACGTCATCGTTGGAGCCACACGCGTGTGTGAGTAACGATCCAAGAGCGAGTCTTATCCGACATTATTCCGATGATATCCCGGACGTCAGTCTGAGCGAGATTAGAATGGCTCTCCAGCACCTTAAAAACGGCAAGGCCCCAAGCGAGGATGGAATTACAGCGGAGCTTCTGAAAGCGGGTGGAAAACTGGTACTTGAAGTCCTTCAGAAGCTCTTTAATTCCATCCTCCATGGTGGCATTACACCGGAGTCGTGGAGCAGAAGTGTGGTGGTCTTGTTCTTCAAGAAAGGTGACAACGCTCTCTTGAAGAACTACAGACCGATTTCCCTTCTGAGCCGCGTCTACGTGCTGTTTTTGAGAGTCATTACGAATCGTCTCGCGCGCAGACTTGACGACTTCCAGCCTTCCGAACAAGCCGGTTTCCGAAAAGGCTTTAGCACCATAGACCACATACATACCCTTCGGCAAATTGTACAAAAGTCAGAGGAGTACAACTTGCCACTATGTCTGGCGTATGTGGACTATGAGAAAGCCTTTGATTCCGTCGAAATTTGGGCGGTGCTGCAGTCCCTTCACCGGTTCCAAGTGGACTGTCGGTATATCGAAGTGCTGAAGTGCTTGTACATTAGGGCTACGATGGCTATCCGAGTACAGAACCAGAGTGCGAAACCTATCCAATTGCAGAGAGGTGTAAGACAGGGTGACGTCATATCCCCGAAACTCTTCACCGCAGCATTGGAAGACGTTTTCAAGCTTCTGGACTGGAAAGGATACGGTATTGACATCAATGGCGAAAACATCACTCACCTTCGATTTGCCGACGATATAGTCCTTATGGCAGAATCGCTGGAGAACCTAAGCACTATGCTCAATGACCTCAATAGTGCTTCACAACGTATAGGTCTTAAGATGAACATCAACAAAACAAAGATCATGTTTAATGTCCATGTCACACCTATGCCGGCAGTTGTAGGGAGCACTAAGCTCGAAGTTCTTGACGAGTATGTTTACCTGGGACAAATAGTCCGACTAGGTAAATCCAACTTCGACCGAGAGGTCAATCGACGGATTCAACTCGGTTGGGCAGCGTTCGGGAAATAACGGCACATCTTCTCGTCAGGTATACCTCAAAACTTGAAAACGAGACTGTACAACCAGTGCGTGTTGCCAGTGATGACATATGAAACTGAGACGTGGTCCTTCACTGCTGGCCGGATGAGGAAACTCAAGGTCGCTCAGCGAGCTATGGAGAGGGCTATGCTCAGAGTTTCTCTGCGTGATAAACTCAGAAATGAGGATATCCGCAGTATAACCAGAGTGACCGACATAGCCCAACGGATTAGTAAGCTGAAGTGGCAATGGGCCGGCCATATAGCTCGAAGAACCGACAATCGACGGAGAAGAAAGGTTCTCGACTGGCAGCCTCGTACCGGCAGGCGAAGTGTTGGGCGTCCCCCCACGAGATGGAGTAACGACCTGGTAAGATATGCAGGAAGTCGATGGATGCAGGTGGCTCAGGACCGTGCTTTGTGGCATTCCTTGGGGGAGGCCTATGTTCAGCAGTGGACTTGTGAAGGGCTGTAATGATGATGATGATGTACAAAAATGTTTAATTTAACCACTTGTATAAATGACTACTGTTTATTAAATGTCCGTCAATGGACTCGACATAAATTTATTTACAATTAGTATTTGTCTTCACACATTTTGTTCTTATTATAATGTTTTTAGGTCAATTAATTTTTAGAGTCTTTTTTTTCTATTTGATTAAAGTTCATTCATAATAACAAAAGCTGTGTAGTGTATACTAAATAAAATAAAATAATAAAAGAATACTTACGTCAGCTGCACTTTTCCTGAGTTCTGGCAAAAACGAAGAAACAATTCTCATAGAGCCAAGCAGGTTAACGTTTATCGTATTTTCTATAATTTTAGGTGTTTGCCATTCGTAATCACCAATTGTCATAACTCCCGCATTATTAACTACGGCGTACAGCTCTAAACAAAAAGAAAATGCAACTTTATAATTGCTCTCTACATATTATTTGAAGCTATAAATATTAACACATATTTATAGCTTCTAATACTGTTATTTCATATATGTATAAAAAGAAAAATTAATACGTATATAAATAATAATAAAATGTATTATTCATTTTCTAAAATATAAAAATTATCCGAATTTTCACAATGCATATTTCTGGAAAAACTTTATAATGTATTTGCCAAACGAACGCTTAATGCCAAACTAATACTTCTGTAGGTCTCGTATCAAATAGCGGATTTGATTTGATTTGTATTCAAAGTTTTTTCATTAAATATTTAATTTTGCAAGAACACATACATTTTAAGATTTCACAAAATAACACGAAAACGAACAAACATTTTGAATTGTTGTGTCAAACATCTAAGATGTTTTATAGAATATAAAAAGGCGTATCACTAAAGTGACTAAAGTGAAGACTTACTGTTATTCGAATTGTCTTTTAAAATACTTTGTACATAGTCTCGAAATCCGATCACGCTATCTGGATCAGTCACATCAAGGGGATATGTATGTGCACATAAATTCTTTAAAGCGTGTGAAGCATCTGTATCAGTTCCTTTGAACATTCCAGCTACAGTAAGCATGCCTTCGCGGGCTGAGCGCGCTGCAATAGCCCATCCAAGGCCACTATCACATCCGGTTATAGCTACCACTTTAGTCCACGACATATCTTTAATCTGTAATCATAAGTAAAACAGGTAAAGTAATATCTATGAATACGCTTGACGCTTGATACGGCAAAAAATACAAATATACCAAACAGAGATAGATACCTTAGATTGCTTTATAATATAAATTACGTAGTCTTTGTGAGGACAATGTCGGAATGATACTGGCCGTTTTACACGATATCCCCGGCATAGGATACATAAAACGGGCAGGTATCAGATATCGATGCATATGTATAAGGAATTTCATGTTTGAATTATTATATTTTGTTCTCTCAGATACGGTCAATTTTATAAATCATTGGCTTAGTGATAAGTTTTTACTTGATTTTGGTTTAACATAGCATATTTTAGTGATTTAGAATGACTGAGTATCAAACTCAAAATTTTTAAGGCGCCTTAAACATTTTGAGTTTGAGTTCCAGCCGTCCCCAACATTTTTTTATATCGACAATAGTCTGCCTAATGGTAAGTGTTTGCTGTAGCCCATATACATCTACATCTATCCTCGTTTGCGAGTCAAAATGCAGATGCGCTGTCAGCCGTAAGGACTAAGATGGAATGCCTCTTTTCCAGTAAAAAGGGTATCGGGTTCTCTACACTCACAATACGAAACACGACAGCATTAAGCCGCTATTTTACGCTGGTATTCTGTGAGTGCATGGTCCTTCCCCGATCGAGCGGACCCATTCATGCTACAACTATACAATTAGTATAGCTGTAGCATGGCTCTACCACGTACATAATTTAGAGAAAAACAAAAATGTAGGATTTGAGGTTAGTGTGTTTGGCGATTGTTAGTATGTACTGCATTGCACTGCACTGGTAAGGATAAGGTGAATGAGTGTCTTTGCTTTTACACATGCACTTGTGGTACTTAAATATGACAGAGACACTTAAATATGAGAGAGAGTACGTAAATTCCATGACTAACGAGTACACACGAGACTAACGAATCACAGTAGTAGTACCTACCTCAAATAAAATATCTAATGTACAGAAATTGTCCTCTTAGAGTTTTATTAAAGTATGATTTTTTATAGACTAAGAATGTCAAACGAGCACCCATGTTGTGGCCCATAGATATCTATTGCATGCCTTAAGCAAAAGTGCAAGGTATGTGCTACTATCGCCTAAAAATTAGATTCCAACGTTTTGTCGAATGAAATCGTATCTAGCAATCATATTATACATATAAATGATATAAAAAGCACATTGTTAGAATGATAAATGATTGTTAAACTTATTAATATTTTTTTTAATCGATTAATTGCTATTTTTAAATAAAAAAGGGGTTTTAGTGGCTTATGGTGTGGATTTATCATGTCCTCAAGGCTTGTAAACACGATAACTTTTGAAAATATCAATTGTTTAGCTCAATCTATTTTTTAATCTCTTCATCTATCATGTGGGAAGCCACTGAATGTAAATAGCAGTGTAATTTTGTTTTGTTTAGCTATAGCTAATTTTTTTCGGCTCCAAAATGGCGAAATTTTCGTTGATTTGTTAGCCTTGTATGTAAATTATTTCTGTAAATAGGCGGAAGCCGCACTCTGAGCTACAGCCACAGACTACTTTACTCAGTACTCACTCACTCAGTTCGGCGTCAGTTGCCGTCGTGAGTGGACATTGTTTCGGTTGTTTGCAGCGCCTCGCATAATAATGAGAGATTTTTTTTATTACAATATTTTAAAAGCACAGAATAAATAATAGTAGTACGTACTAAAAGTAAGTAGCATCAATTTTTTCGTCATGGGTGTCATTTTCATGGTTTTCAAGGGTGTTGAAGCCGATAGGGTTGTCGAAATGTAAATCCAAGGTGGCGGCTACAATAGGTATCAATTTTTTCGTCAGTGGTATCATTTTCATGGGTTTCGAGGGTGTTGAAGCCGATTGTGCTGTCGACATGTAAATCCAAGATGGCAGCTGAAGTAGATATCAATTTTTTCATCTTGGATGTAATTTTCATGGTTTTCGAGGGTGTTGAAGCTGATAGTGCTGTCGAAATGTAAATCCAAGATGACGGCTGAAATAGGTATCAATTTTTTTATCATGGGTGTCATTTTCATGGTTTTCGAGGGTGCTGAAGCCGATAGTGCTGTCAAAATCTAAATCCAAGATGGCGGCTGCAATAGATATCAATTTTTTCATCATGGGTGTCATTCCCATGGTTTTCGCGGGTGTTGAAGCTGATAATGCTGTCGAAATGTAAATCCAAGGTGGCGACTGCAATAGGTATCAATTTTTTCGTCAGGGGTATCATTTTCATGGGTTTCGAGGGTGTTGAAGCCGATTGTGCTGTCGAAATGTAAATCCAAGATGGCAGCTGAAGTAGATATCAATTTTTTCATCTTGGATGTAATTTTCATGGTTTTCGAAGGTGTTGAAGCTGATAGTGCTGTCGAAATGTAAATCCAAGATGACGGCTGAAATAGGTATCAATTTTTTTATCATGGGTGTCATTTTCATGGTTTTCGAGGGTGCTGAAGCCGATAGTGCTGTCAAAATCTAAATCCAAGATGGCGGCTGCAATAGATATCAATTTTTTCATCATGGGTGTCATTCCCATGGTTTTCGCGGGTGTTGAAGCTGATAATGCTGTCGAAATGTAAATCCAAGGTGGCGACTGCAATAGGTATCAATTTTTTCGTCAGGGGTATCATTTTCATGGGTTTCGAGGGTGTTGAAGCCGATTGTGCTGTCGAAATGTAAATCCAAGATGGCAGCTGAAGTAAATATCAATTTTTTCATCTTGGATGTAATTTTCATGGTTTTCGAGGGTGTTGAAGCCGATAGTGCTGTTGAAATGTAAATCCAAGATGGCGGCTGCAATAGGTATCAATTTTTTCATTATAGGTATCATTTTCATGGTTTTCGAGAGAGTTGAAGCCGATAGGGTTGTCGAAATGTAAATCCAAGATGACGGCTGAAGTAGGTACCAATTTCTTCATCATGGGTGTCATTTTCATGGTTTTCGAGGGTGTTGAAGCAGATAGTGCTGTCGAAATGTATTTAAACTACTTTAAAAAATTCCATATAATCATGTTATAGGTAATTTATTTAATGCGTTTAAGGCATGCCCAATTGGATTTACCAATTTATCTATCATTTATCCTCAATTAGAATCAAAATACAGATGCGTTGTCACCCCTGAGGACTAAGCTGAAATGCCTTGTTCCAGTAAAATGTATCTCCGGTTCTTTACACTTACCATACGAAACACAACAGCCTTAAGCTGCTATTTTACGCTAAAGTTCTTTAAGAGCGTGGTCCTGCCCCGGTCTAACTAATATAGCTGGTTCTGCCGTAAAGGTATTCGGGAAAATATCATCATTTTATTTACAAACTCGCGACCCGTATCGGCTTATCTGAATACAATGACTATATAACCACATGTTATTTTAAAGTATGTATATAGTATTATATTACGTGGTATAGTACGTGGTAGAGCCATACTGCAGCTATATTATGGTTGTAGCACGAATGGGTCGGCTCGAACGGGGAAGGACCACGCTCTCACAGAAAACCAGCGTAAAATAGCAGCTTAACGCTGCTGTGTTTCGTATGGTGAGTGTAGAGAACCGGAGACCCTTTTTACTGGCAAAGAGGCATTCCATCTTAGTCCTCACGGGTGACAACGCATCTGCATCTTGAGTCTTTATTGAGGATAGATGTAGATGTCTATGGGTCACAGTAACCACTTACCATCAGGTGGACTGTGTGCTCGTTTGTCATCCGATCCTATAAAAAAAACCACAGTGGTTATATTCCTCTATGCCTGAATAGTATCTATTAATATGCCGTTATTTAGAATTTTGATTATCAAAGACCATTAGATATATTTATAGAAATAAATAAAATTGAAGTGACTCTTTGTAATGTCGAAATAACAGCTTTTTACTATATACATTCATACTACTACTACTACTTTCATAAGTATATACGGTACTTATAACAGAAAACACAATTTTTAAAAATTTTGTCTTGCTGTCTTCTGTCTGTCTGTCTGTCTCTCTGTCTGTTTGTTCCGGCTAATCTTCGAAACGACTTTCACTGGCAGATAGCTGATGTTGTAAGAAGTAACTTAGGCTAATTTTATTTTAGAAAAAGAATTAGGGTTCCGCGTAAAAAATTAAAACCCATGAAATCCAATCGTAATAATTTACGCGCGGGCGAAGTCACGGGGAATGGCTAGTATACAATAAAATATAATATAATAGTCTATATCCCTCCTGGAATTGCTCTCTAAAAAGTTTCATCAGAATCGGTTTCGCAATTCCGAAGCCCGAACAGAATTTTAAAAATTGTTGTTTATGTCTAAATAGCATTCAAATAACCCACGAGCTAAATAGTTAAATCGCTAAATATTAATAAAACAGTTATGTATTTTAATATTACATCAGATATCAGAAGTGCGTTAATTTTTTATTTCGAAAATAGTTTTAGCATTTATTTGGTCATGTATACCACACTAAGAAGTTTTTGTTAACCGTCAAATTGGTCTCTAGTACCTATCAAATGAAAATGTCGAATAATTCAACAAAGAGACGCCAATAAAAGAGGATCGTTTCAGCACGAATGCCCAACTGAGAGATTAAACCTACTGAACGGAAACAATCTTGTATTTCTGGATGATTTAACTCGGAATCGAATCCTTCGAAGTAGAAGCGTTACGCATAATACACCACAATTATACCAACTTAACCCTTCAGGATTATTATCAGCAATAGACATTAAATTAATTTAATAATAAGTTGGAACAGTAATGCATATTTATAAAAAATTAAAGTTACCAGCAAGCCTGGATTCAATCAAGCTAGTGACGGGTGTTAGTTACGTATCACCCGTAGGCGTCTACGCCCAAGTCAAAACATAAAAGGCTTCAGATATGTTATGATGTCACCGCAGGGGACGCCCTGATAACCTGTATTTCTACAAGCTCGCTTACAGTACAAACAGGAGCAATTAGTGTGTGCACAGGTATTTTCCACTAAAAATAG